GGCCGATGTGGCATGAGTTTATCTGTATATGTGCAATTCATGGTTGTACGTGGGCTGGGATACTGCCAGGGTGCCCACACCTAGACAGGGGGACGATTAGAGTACTCAACCGAAGTCTTTGGCTAAAAGGCCTAACCGCAAGGCAGCGGTGTTTGGCGGGGAAATGCAAATGCATTACCTTTTCTACGAAACAAATCGCCACATGTTCCAACCCCCAACCTGGAGGACCAGGAGACTGTGTTCGTCAGACCTCTAACCATTGACCAACCTGGTACGAGAGACTCTGTTAGTGTGCCGGGACACTCTCCAGTATAGCTCAGTGGATCGCTGAGGTGCGTAAAGCGTCACACCACGGTAAGGTCCAGTCTATTCGTGCGGCAAGCCAAACGGTAAGGTCCAGTCTATTCGTGACGGCAAGCCACAAGTAGGCACGGCCCAAGGTTAATCTAGGTAAGGAATACCTTTTCGGACATAAAACTCGGATAAAAAAACTCAAAAATATTAATATTTGTGGCGCCTCAACCATTGGTGAAGGGTTTGCAATTAATCCACCAATCTCCTTAACAGAGAGGCATCACCCACGCATGTTGGGCTTAAAACACTCCTGAGCACCAGGGTGGGACTCTGCGGGACATTCTAAGGAGATGTTTAGTGAAGGGACAGAACCGATCCATTGATCAACGATAAGGTGAAGCTACAAACTACAGAAACCAAGTAAATTTCTTCTGGTGTGATAGCTCCTGGGGATGGTCTCTCCAGGGGGATCCGCAAAATCGTCTTGGATAATGCCAGCTCAAAAATGACTAAACAATAATATGTCAGGGTATGAACTGACAGTTTTTTTCACAGCAAATTTTCATAAAGGAAACTACTCACAAGGTTACTGAAAACTCTTCGACAGCCCACGACCGGTTTCGCCCTTCTGTTTCGGGCTCATCAGGTAGGCGCAGTCCCCGAGTTTCCATCAACCTTATGTTCTACTTGAACTTAAATTGAACTGTTTTCGGGAAATACTACTCATGAGTAGTGTACCACGTTCATACGGTGATTGTGAAGTATTCATCCACAACAACTATCCTGGTGCTTTAGTCCTCGGGCTTTTTTAGCACACGACGATCAAGCCTTCATTCCGGCGATAAAATTTCTTTTGAACGACAGGGAATCGCATCTCCTGCTATGCCTAATTGCTGGTTCCGGTTCTGATGTACTGTATGCATAAATGCTTCCCAGTAAATGGGGTATTAAATAAATTATGCCAGCCACAACAATTTTTCCTTCCTATTTTCTTCTGGCAACATTTTTTTAAATTGATCTCTCCTCCCCGAAGGTAAGTCCATTTCGCTTCATGCCGTCGCGCGTTTTGATGTTTTTTCCGGCTTTTCAGAAGTTAGCCACCACATTTGAACAGAACACGAAGAAAGTTGACGTCGATGCGCACTCATCAAGACTACCGCTTCAGACGCAAATTATTCATTTTGTTTGACCACACACTTGGCGATTTTCCTACGTCTTACGTCAATTAAGGAACTCGCGTGAGCAACGTTCACACGAGGAGTGTCATGTACCTGTCATGCCCACGTGTCAACACACTACGAAGTCGTACATACGTGCATCAGCCGCCATGTTGTTTCACCACGTGGCAAATTCGTTGGCTATCGTCCCCTATTGCTATTCGACAGTCCTCTACGAGGCATAATGAAATTCATGAAAGGATCTTTTCCAGATAAGCCCCGCCACTAATGCAGTAAGTGCATGTGCGAAAAGTTAAGCCCCGCCACGTTTTGCCATCTCCAATTTGATGTATGCACACAACATTCACCTGTTTTTGATCAAAACGATTCCTTATCCGCATCTAGGCTTATTTTGTGCAAAACGTTTCTCCGTTCTGACGTAGAACCTTAAATGGCTTTCTGACGCTTTCAACTCTCGTTCATGACAAGTAGACGGCAATACGTTTTTCGCAGAGCCACGGAGTGATCCATCAGCACCGTTTACGCAACAATGGCCACCAAATGACACTTTCAACTGTTTCTGCCGGTTGTGGTGTAATGCCCGACAGTGTCGGCAAGTAATCGGTCTTCGGCTGCAGTGATCTAGGATGGAGTTTAGGACAGTAATTCAATTCATCTATTGTTGGTCCGAAAATTTGTCAAAAGTCAAATTCTGCTCAGAGGAATTATCTATTAGCCACACGACCGCTGTTGACTGGAAGAACTTTCTTCGCGAAGTTTTGCGCCTGGCGGCTTTTGCAGACTCTAACGGTTAATCATACCGAAAACTTTGTGGATCCAACGACCATAGCTCAAACACAAACCCTCGAATCTCTTCGGGGTACCTCTAGAAGATGCAGAATAAACCCCAATGCGCCACACACCGATCTTTAGTGGATAGCTACTTGTGTGAGTTTGTTTGGAGGTAAAGGTACCGAAAAACGGACGTTTCCATGCAGATTATTAATGACATGTCCCAATTTCACCCGCTTCAATAAAAACCAAAAGTACAAATTTCATATCCTCCTTTTTCTAACCTTTTTGGGTGGCGGGGGTTAATTTTTGGTGGGGCTTATCTGGAAAAGATCCTTCCATGAAATCTAGCTCGTAAATAGAGCAGTAACTCCGGTCGGCTTCTATGTATCATGGTTGGTTTAGTCTTGAAGTAAGTCGTTAGGTCTGATATGGTGTATGCTTGAATTCAAGGTTTCCACTACAGATCCACTTCGGTCCAGGCGGCTAGAACTTGTTTCATGGACTATCAATGAAAGTTGGCATAAAGTGATAAAAATCAGGGGTTGCTTGGTTGTAAAAATCGCAGTGAATGTATTACTGAAATGTCGAAATTGGAGTACCGCGAATGTTTTGTCGGTGAGAGAAAAATTCAGTCTAGTCATGTGAAAGACAAGCAGCATCAAGAAGACAGTGCTAGATTGGACAAAGAATCATGTAGTAGGTCGAATATCTGATTTGGAAGTCATCATTACTAGGGCAGCAAGCGGTACAATTCATGTTCTTACCGTGGAAGACCGGTGAGTGTAGCTGATACCCGCATGTAAGCGATGAAAACTGAATTTGAACAGGTTTTGGCGACCTTGCTTTTGTTACGAGTGTTGGATCTTCGGCATGCCCAGCCGGTTCTCCAGACTTAAAAGCACTCCCTGCATGCGGAACTACCTGAAGAAACAGATGGGTGCTTTTCTGAATGCTCAGTACGGATGCGGGCACGCTTATTTTCAGACAAACTCTGTGGAAAACTTCTAATGAAGGTTCTTCTAAATCCGAACATTCTTGATTAATTAGCCCTGTTTGTTCTGTCAAAATAAACACTTTGAACCGAATTGATCTACTGAAAAAATATACTCATTTGCACAATAATTTGGTTTTTAACGAGCTAATCCGGTCACGGGTTGTCAAGGCGTTTTCAGCGACCTTATGAGTAGTGTGTTGCGTCTAAAAAACAATCCCTTCATTTACAATGGTGATAATCTGCTGAAGCTACGGAGACGATGCCTGTTGAAGAGGTTGATTGGATGATTGTTTTCGGGATAAAATTATTGAACCCGACATCTTCATTAGACACTTGCTTACTCACTGGTTCTAATGTTGTAAAACTCTAACCTGAATGGTGTCCACCGTGTGCAAAAACTTCGCACATGTTGTAACTCGTAAAACTCCGACTGGTTGCTTTCATCTGGCTCCCAAAAACACTGCGAATGTATCCTGTGTTCATGACACACTTTGGAGCGATTTTCCCATCAGTTACCATCGTAATCAATTTCGCCTAATCAACTCCCACCCGCAAAACCTCCCAAACACTTTGGTGACGCCGTTCAGTCAAACTTGTCGCTTGTTCCCAACACCTTGGAATCGGTTGATGACCTTCGTATCCTGCCCAGGCCACAGAGTCCCTCTCTCTCTCTCGCTCTATACTTTGTCCAGTTTCTCAGAAGGGCATCAAGCAATCTCGGACCAAATAGCAGTTGTTGTTGTTGTTCGAAACCTAAACCAAGTTCCGCTTCACTTTCCTCTGCTCTTTGCCCAATTGTTGCGGGGTTCGATGTATAATTTTGACAAATTGGCTTCGTTTTGTCCTAACCTTGTTCGACTTGGCAACCACAGCGCTGCGTGGCAAACATGTAGCGACAGCTGTAGCGGCAAGTCCAATAGCACGTGTACACGCACACGCACGCACACACACACACACACACAAACCCAAGTGTGGTCGTTCTCACACATTGTTGGTGAATTCTAGAAATGTTTGATGATACACGCCACACAGAGGTCATGCGGCAACAATTGCAGGCAAGCTGGGCAGGCAGGTGGGTCCATGGTCACTTTGAAGACCCCGAGCGGCGTGACCTAAAGGAAGTTGGTCAACTTTCGTGTGATTAATTGTTTGCAACGTTTAACGTCAAACTTTGTAGGGTCGAGGTACTTGTGCACGCGCCACATGTGTCGGGCAATGGGAACAACACCGATGTGTCACACCTACAAAGCGGAACAGACAAAATATCAACTTTTCCGGCGTGCACAAATCTCCGAACTATACCTGTTTTTTGGCGTTACACGGCTTAACTTGGCAAGTTTGATCAAAAAATGGGATCCATGAAGAATCTCCCACAAAATTCTCACATAAGGTGCTTAAACATTACCAGTGTGAGTAGATCCCAGTTGGGTCAGCCGAGACAGTGGTTCCCAAACTGGCAGACGAATAAGCTACCTTTAATCGACCAATTAGTATCTTCCAAAACTCTCGGTGACAGCATGTAAACAATTCAGGGAACATGGTCCTCCGCTGGCTCGCTTTGCCTTCTCTACTCCATCTGGTTCGGTATGTGAGTTACCCGTTTCGCTCAGTTCGTTCTGTCCCTTTTCAAATCGGGCAAAGCCTACTTCCCGCAAACGCATGGCAGTTGTCCACTGCATTTGTGATCAGTTTTGATTTCGTTGGTACGGAGTTCCTCAAATGAAATGTCATACTTTGAGAGTATGCGGAAGGCTACTGGGGCCACTTCTTTGACTCGGCACAAAACGTATGTGTGGCTAACAAATTTTCTGTCGTGATAAGCACCTACTGAACAATATAGTCGTTCGTTTGTATCAGCTAAGAAATAACGCACGAATCCGCATTGTCGAGTGTGCTTAAAGCAGTGAAACGTACTCATATGAGTGCCAAAGTGCCGTCATAGCAACAAGATATGCTTGATCGAAAGCCTGAGTAACAACCTTCTGGTATAATTTTTCTGTGCATAAAATCAGGAGGTTGCCGAAATCTGCACGGCTGGGAGAAGCGGAATTTTCTAAAGTCCATGAATAACTGGATAAAAAGTACTTTCCACACGAAATAGTCCCTCCAGGTGAACTAGGCGAGAAGGAAATGTTTTTAACATGATTATGGATTACTCTCCTGGCAGTACCTTGCTGATGTTTCTCATACATTTGGCACTTGCAGTCGAATGTTACAACTATTGGAGTCGTTAAACACGCGGGTTCAGCTTTTTGTCCGTTTTTGACCGCTTGTAGAAAAATATGGAGATCGTAAGGTGTCCGTTATGAATTCTCCCTTGCTATGCAAACTTAATCTATACTGAAGCGTGTAGAAGTGCCGCAAGGTGCTTCCTTCTTTTAGAGAATCAACCTCACCACACGTCTGGCGAATCCTGATAAAGACAGAAACCCGGACGGGTTTTGTAAGCTTTAGCTGCGCGGCTGGTTATAAATAACTCTCATTTAAAAAGTATGTAGAGCCCCACTGAATGGGAACTGGCTATCCGGACGGGTAGTCGTTATGCTGACGGAGCCGTACAACAATGTGTAATAACAATATATGATACATTCGTAGGATATCAGGCTAATTTGAAGCATTCCTATGGACCAAGGGAAAAGCAGGAATCCCCGGAATACTTCTGGGCAACTTCCTTCAGTGCCAACAACTGAGAAATCCCGAAACATATCAACCACCCTCCAAGAGGAAGACTACTGGTTCCAAAAGTCTAAAGCGACATGGTATGTGATTCCCAGAAGGAAAGTGACCCACAGAGGAAACCAACCCTAGGCAAGGTCCTAGCAATTGGTTCTTGTGGAGCACCGTCTATGCTCACCAGTTGTCCTAAATTATACGATCGTCACGACATTCCTTTGGGGACTGTCCAAAAAGAAGCTTATGTGTAGTTCCCACGAAAGTCTAGACATTGCCAACATTCAGATGCTCAAATACAGCGCGTAGAATACTGCCATAAACATTCCATTTCTATCGAATTTCGAGAATACTCTGGTGTTTGAGTGCATAAAATTCGTTCTGCTGATGTCTGATCCCACTAGACTGTTTTGGCTGATGATTATTTTCGCTGGTTGTCGATCGATCCCTGGACGTAACGTGACATATGGGCAATGATCACTCATCCATTGGCTGGAAAAAACCACCTACGTCACATTGATTAGTGCTGTCCAGGCTCGGACAAGTCATCATACAGATGCTCAGAAGTGAGTTCCGCAAGAATGTGGAGAGAAGGCCTTGACTAACGGACTGTTTCTCAATGATCCTACACAGGTACTTGTTGAGGAAGCAGCGTAGAATTCCAAGATCCCTGATAAGTGATGGGAAATTCCTTGCGGTGGTCACCGGGATACAACGAATTCAATCGTGGTCACGCCAAGCAATTCGAAAAGTTAACTTGTTGATTCTCAGCTACATTCAGGAAGGAGTGAGCTTGGTCAAAGGACACAGTACCTAGAACTATGCCTTAGAATCGTGATTCGTGAACTACATTCATTCGCACGCCAATCTGGCTTTTACTTAACACTCACATGAAACCCAGTTGAATCTCGCGTTTACGATATCCTTCAACTGAGTGTGCTGAACAAAAGCTGCCCCAAGTTTCATTTGGTAGGATATACCAAATATTGGAGTGGAGAGTTCAAGCTGAACCAATGGTTGAGAGAAACACGACCATCTGATGAGTTCCAAGAGGGGCGGAACCGGTCATGAGCTGTCAAAGAGTATTTAGTAACCTTGTGAGAGAATCAAATGAACTACATTGAAAAAAATGGGTAAGTAGAATGATTTCGTTGAATTAATGCAACACCGGCACCACGCGTACAGACAAAGGCTAGGGTTCTGTTGTCGAGCTTGCAGTGGTGGCTCTGCAGTGGTTTAAAAAAATCGCTTTTTGAGACAGACGCACAACAAGAGGCGGAGTGAAATCCATTACCCTCAAGCCGACTGTCTACCCCACCATAACATGGGTATCACGACAGTCCGGATCAAAATGCCCTCGTAAACGTCTCAATCTACTAGCGGGGATGGTGTATTTGGATATCCATGTCTCTTCCGCACTGCACAGAACAAGGTCAGAATTTGATCACCTGATGCCTGAAACGTGTTTCCGTCATCGGTAATAAGGGCTGTTCGGTGCTTTTGTCCTACCTTTGCTTTAATTATCTATCAGGGATGCTTTTGTCTGACTTGAAGGATGTTTGGTCGATATATGGAGATGAGCCAAAAACTAGCTGTGTCAAACTTCACTGCTCCATATGTCGAGGTGCAGAAGAGACCCACAAAAAACATGGTGCCTCCAACAGACCTTATATGGTGAATATCACTCTGGATCGATAGCACAGTGCTTTCAACGCAGTCGTGCATTACTTGATAGAGATCTGTGGGGGGCGAATCTTGATCGAACACCAACTGAACAGTTTCAGACTATTGGGGAGAGTGAAAAGCTCATATGCATCTTGTTTACAAAAACTGAATATCCATCTTCTCCTTGAACGCGTCTTCCCAAACTTTCCTGGATATTCATTGGCTGTTACTCAAATGCAAGCAAATGCTACAAAGCGACTCCACAAATTCTGTAATAGATCTCACTTTTCAAAAGACGCGAAGAGGATTTACGAGAAAACATACTACTAGCATGTCCCATCAGTAGTACCTATCAGTACACCAGTCCCAGCTAGACTCGATAGTAAAATGTAAGCCACATTTTTTAAAGGACAAAAAAATTCCCAAAAGGTAGGCCCACCCACCAGGCCACTTGAGTGCCCCAAAACATCGTCAAGTTTAAACGCGTACTTTTCACTTTTAACATGTTCACCTATCCAGAGTTAAAAATTCGGATGAGTCCAGCGTTCGCCGGTGAAGTAGTGTTAAAACGCTCGCCTCATATATCAGATGTGCAGAGTTCAAACCCCGGCACCGCTATTGCATGTGCACTGCTGATGAGCTCGGGTATGGGTGGACTCGACTCCAGTGCTTCCCCCCACTGACCAAGATGATTGCGCGAGGACAGGAGGACGATTGTCCCAACGAGAGTCACGTGAGCATGTATTCTACAAAATTCTGCAACTGCCAGCACCAGAAAATAAAACTCTTGCTCTGATAAATTGTTTTTCCTCACGGTAACCAAAGCAACGTTCTCCAAAATTTTCGTTTTTTAGGCTAAAATGTAAAGAACCTGTTCAGAACCGTTTAGTCTCACAAGCAATCCAAAATTTAACTGAAGATTGCACTAGGAATCAGTCTAAATTAATACAGGCTGCGCAAGAAATTGATGATCACCCAGTTTCATAGATTGGATGATGTTTGGCCAGAAAATGCCGCGCGCCATCAAAAAATGCATTCGGAATTCACAGGGATATTCTCTAAGACTGGCGTTGAAAACACCGATCCGAAAGTATATACACGAACTCCAAAAATAATCAACGTCTTCGAATAGTCTTCATCGTCGCCTCCAATCTTCCTCATGAAGCGTAAAAAACGCGTAAGTCTGTCACTCCAGAAACGACTAGGTGACTGGACGGTGGCACCAAGTTCAATAATTTAAACTAGCTTCCTGACCAAAGTGTTACAAATTCGTTGACACCAATCACCGGTTTTCAACTAATTGGAGACGTTCTAGGTCCCGTGTCTGTCCACACAACAAAACAAATCTACCGATTGTCACCAAACTTTTTCGAAAACTCTCTGTTTGTTTTCATAAAAGAAATTACTCACAAAGTTGCTGAAAACTCTTCGACAGCCCACGACCGGTTTCGCCCTTCTGTTTCGGGCTCATCAGGTGAGCGCAGTTGCCGAGTTTCCGTTAACCTCATGTTCTACTTGAACCCAAATTGGACTGTTTACGAGAAATAAACTCATTTGTTCTACTTCAACATAAGGTTGACGGAAACTTTTGGGACTGCGCCTACATGATGAGTCTCAAGAAGGGCAAAACCGGTCGTTGACTGTCAAATAGTTTTCAGCAAACTTGTGGGTATGTTATGAAATGAAAATACACTGCGATATCTCGAATATCGTGCCAACTGAATCATGAGGCGACCTGTGTGCAGCACATTCAGTTGTAGAATAAACGAGATGTTCAGTTGAGTCTCTCGCGAAAACTCCTAGTGTGATTTTCTGAACAAATGCCATATCGTCTTGAACCCACAAAAGGAGAACACTTGTAAACGTGTCTCGAAATTTCGAGTTGTGCGCACTAAGTGTGCCTTGCAGAGTGCCATCTGAATCAAATTACCCCTCAATCCCACACTTTCTTCCCGTAGTTTTGGGATTCGAACATTTTGGATTTCATGCTTTATTAGTGAGAAACTCATGCTAGAAACTAGAATGACCCAGACCAGCCTTTTCGGGTAACGTTTGTTCCTGTTGAGTTTCAAAAATTAGGTGACTGTCTTATGCACAATCCAGATAAACAAGGTTTACGTGAACGACTATATGAGTTCCACTGTGGCACCAGTGACAATGTTAAACTAGAGTGGCAAGAGTGGGTTTCCGTATAGGGCAACGCTTCTTTTAAGCAGGTTTTTAGAGGATTCTCATTCATTCTTACACCCTAGTAAGCGTGTAAGCCCCTATTATACTGATAAACGTCTGTGACAGTTTTTTGAGCAACCACATTAGAGAAACTGGCCAATCGGCTGAGTAGAATAGAGCCTTGTAGCTACTGTTTTGGCTGATCTATAGGTATGACAAAGTGCAATGAACCTTGCCTGTTATTCTTGGTTTATAACTGTGGGACAAAGGAGAGGAAGTGACGTTTGGTTTCGAAGCGCAGTAGGCAGAAGGCAAAATATGTGTGTGATTATTACGCTTACTCTGGCCACCCTTATGACAAACCGAAACGACTCCTAATTTGCCTGAGTTAGTTGGGGAACATTCATCACCCCAAATCGACAGAAAATGGTCGTCTCTTAAGTAAACCGGTGTAGCATAATGAGAACCGTGAAGCTCTTGGTGACTTGGGGAGAAAATGCACTCAGCTGTCTCAAAAAAAACCGAAGGTTCCCTCCCTACAATCCGCATCTTCACAACAGTTTCACTATCCAAGGGAACAGAAGCAGGCGGACAGTTATTTTGTCGTTCGAAATATTCGACCCAATCGTATAAATGTTCTGTGCTGGAGATAAAGGAATGATTGTGGTTCTTGGTCGTTCCATTTGAGAAGGGTTTTTGGAATTTGTTTCTCAATATAAAAGAAGTCAGTCTGTGTGTAAAAAAGGCCGAGAAGCACTGTACAGCTGCTTGGTGTTTACTGAGTACTCATCGGTGGTGTGCACCTCTCGGATCTCCTGAGAGATTCGAATTCACAACCCTCCGACTGGCAGCTAAAGTTTAAACCTGTGGGTCACAGGCGGCTGATCAGCAGTGTGATTGATTCGCACTTGGACAGGATACAGCGCAATTCCATCACGGAATCCACATCATCTGGTCACATGGCTTTAATTCAGTATATCCTTTTGAACCGCAGCTTCTGAGATGTGCAGTGCCCATCACCTTTCGGATATGGTAGACTCCACTTAAAGGAGGAAATCTCCACTGAAAACTTCCTAAACCCCTTTGAACAATCAACAGCCTACAGTATGCACCATCTGGGGGATCTCCGGGTAGTACGAGGAGTCACTCTCCCCCACCCCACTTCCTACTAACGAATTACATCCCGTCCTTATAATTAACATCTTCAAATGCAAGTCTGGTAAGACTAAACTCATCAGGCTCCCCACTAGAAATTTGGGCATACCACGAGACTACCATCCGGTGATGAAATTTCTCAAGGAGTCTCATCTCATGGGCTAAGCTGAGAAATCACCCCGGTAGTTTTGATATAGCCGTCCTAAGTTGCGTGTATTTTGAGCGGATTGAAAAGAGGACAAGTGACACCATACATATGTACAATCAGGATCCGTATGTTCCAGAACAAGCGTTCGTCAGTACTTGTTCAGTCTCACCGATATCTGAAGGCAATGTGAACCGATTTGAGCCACAAACTACCTTCTTGCGGTCTGTTATGTTTGACTGCTGTTCCTGCCTAGTGCGGAAAAATCCTCGCCGATGAGGAACACAACACCTTTATTGCGAACAAGCGAAAGCATGAGAGTGCAAAAGTTACGACAGTCCCGCGCTATTTAAAGGGCACTTTTTGCCACTGATCCAGGCTGTCTGGAAAGCGTTTAGTGAACATCCATCAGCGTCAGTCGTGCTTCTGTGAAATGCATGAGCGGTGATCACATTCGGTCGTCCTCCTGTGGCGTGCCTGAACACTCATCGGGATTTTGCTTAATTGACTGAATGACTGCTTAGCCTGAATGCTTGCCGGCTTGTGATTTTGGTGGGGTTCTAGGGTCTCAGTAGGTTTCGGGTGTTCTGGGATTACTTTCAGGAATCCGACCTTCCTGATATAAGGTGTCAACCATTTCAAAGATATGTACTAGATAGAAACAACCTACAATCGACGTGAACTTACTTCCCCTTTGTCAGTATGTTCACAGTCCAATCTAAGAATACCGCCCAAATGGACCTCACCAGCGCTATGTCTACCTGACTGCACTTTCATGATTCTAGCAGCCACAAAGACGCCTGAGAGTTTTCGCTTGTAGAAACAACCCAACACAAAATCCATCTTTTACAGTAGCCGAGCCACCGTCGTCCGAGGCACGCGTAGCGAAAACAAATAGACGGCCTCTCTTGTCCAGGATTACTTCACAGAAATTTACAAACCTACAAAGCAAAGAATACGGCGCACAGGTATCCAGTCCAAAAAAATGCTCCCTTCGCTCAAAAACTCAGGATAACACCACCTTCGACTGCTTCCGGGTTGCCAGAATACATTTTCGGATAGGAAAATAACGTTACAGAATTCGAGAAATACACTCATTTGCAAATCAGTTTGGTTTTCACGAGAGACGCAACTGAATCTCTCGTTTACGATGTTCTACAACTGAATGTGCTGCACACAGGCCGCCTCACGTTTCAGTTGGCACGATATTCGAGATATCGCAGTATATTTTCATAAAGGAAAATACCCACAAGGTTGCTGAAAACTCTGACAGTCAACGACCGGTTTTGCCCTTCTTGAGGCTCATCATGTAGGCGCAGTCCCCGAGTTTCCCGAGTAGAACGCCATAAACGAGAGATTCAGTCGAGTACCTCGTGAAAACCAATTTGATTTTTAAATGAGTTTATTCCTCGAACACAGTCTAATTTGGGTTCAAGTAGAATATGAGTTTAACGGAAACTCGGCAAATGCGCTCACCTGATGAGCCCGAAACAGAAGGGCGAAACCGGTCTTGGGCTGTCGACGAATTTTCAGCAACCTTGTGGGTAGTTTCCTTTATGAAAAGTTACAGAATGTCTAACTCTTTAAGGCCGCCCAAACGTCCCCGATTTACTACAAACATCAACGCAAAGTAAATCCAGGGCATGAGCGAAAACGGCTTATTTTCCTGATCTGCTCAGAGTAGCGATTAGGAAGACAGTCATTTGAACGAACGTTGGGGTTTGGAGATCGATTTCTGTGCATCCGAGATTGTCGATGATGGTTGAACACACAACCCAAAGCCCAAAGAACCCCAGGCTCTGAGGGTGATCCCTGTTTAACAGTAGCAAGAGGGGGGTGACTGAGAAAGTAAAAGATATGG